ATAGAGAACGAAATATGGGTTAAATATCAAGTTAAACTGTTGTCGTTTTTTTTAGAACCAGTTTAAGAGAATATTGGCGCTTTCCAAATTCAATATCTACATTGAGTCGTTTATAGAATATTATATAATTCCCAAGAAATATCTCTTCAGTTTATAAAGTGACATAAAACGTATATATATATAAATATATATATATTATATATCCTCATTGTCATTTATTCGTAAATTTAGAACTGGTTTTTTTGTGTATATATATATAAAAATATAAAATTTATTTGTTTGTGTGTTATGTGTGTAGATTCCTATATCGATATATTATTAAAATTCATACATTTTTGAAATAAAATACAGAAGTTAATATTTATTAGCTGAGAGACAAAAAATTGAATTAAGTCTGTTTTCCTGGAGCATTTTAACGACGTTTAGTGTGTGTGTGTGTGTGTATGTAAATTTTATTTCAAATTGAAAAAAGTTCGAACGAAGGAAAATGTTATTGAACAAAGAAATATGTGAAATTATTAAAAGAATTATAAATAAGGATGATTGTTGAAATTTCCAAGACACATGATGAAGGAAAACATATTTTTGAGAATTTGAAGGTATATATTTATGCATATATAAATCAAGATATAGGTTTTCTTATAACTAATACAGATGAATAATACGTAGGAGATGATGAAATATTCCTCTGAAAAAAAAACAATAGAAGTCATACACAACACACTTAATCGAAAAACTCTTGTACACTATACAAAGTGTAAATGTATAGAAGATATAGATGAATTATATATATATATATATATATATATATATATATATATATATATATATATATATATAATAAATTTATATACACATATGAACTGTGTGTGTGTGTGTGTGTGTGTAATAAAACGTCGAAAAACTAGTGTAAATCTAGGCCTCTATATTGTTGAATGATTGTAACTTTTGTGATTCCGGGATGAAATCCGGTACCAATAAATAACAAACGCCATTCCCCATGAATATAAAGAAAATAATGTATTAACGTAATAATACAAACTGGTAATGCAGGTTAGTAGTTCCAGGAATATAGGTTAGTAGCAAAATATCTATACAGTCTTTGGTATTGTAGTATCGCTGTATGACTAGATTACTAAGTTTACGTTTGCTCACTGTGAATTCTGCTTGCTACGTTAAACTCTGTCTGTTACTTCAGGATTTTTCTATATTTCTGATATGAAATATTGTGATGTTAATTACCTTGTTCAGAGAAGCTGTTTTGCTAATCTTTTATTGTAGATATTCACGACGTTTCATAAGTTAAAACCAATCCTTCGAAAAATTTTCAGGATCTGTCTAAATTTTTGAAATGAGGTTTTCTCTTAGTTATTTACATTGTTCAGACTTCTTTTCGTCAATTTTTTTGTTTTGTTCACGACGTTTCGGCCGTTGTAGGGTCCGGATTTCATCAGGATCATGTCTATCTTTCTATTTCTGATTGATTTTATTTGGAATTATATGATTTTATATTTAATTCATTTCACTTTATTTATTCATTTTTTTTTGTTTGTTTTTTTCAAAAAGGATTGTCATATCGCGGTAGATGAAAAAAATCATTTTGGAATTTTCCGTTTTAAAATATTTTCTATTCAGACATTTTTTCTTTTTTTAATCATTTCTTCCAATCAAGGCATTTGAAGATGAGGTAACGAATTAAGGTTATTTACATTGTTCAGACTGTTTTTCTCATCTTTATTGTCATATTCACGAATTTCGGCCGTTGTACAGAATTAAGAAGACAGCAGGATCTGTCTATATTTCTGAGATGAAATATTGGATTAAAGTATTTACAAAAGCAAGAATTCAGGAGTCTTTATTGTCATATTCATGACGAAACTGCTAGCATAGAACTCCGGCCTTCTTCAGGATCTGTCTATAAATCTGAGATAAGGTATTGCAAAAGAATTCCGCGTAAATTGTTCTAGGCTGTTGTCCTCATCTTTATTTCATATTCTATTTTCCGGCCGTTGTAAAAATTAATTTTTTCTTCAGGATCTATCTATAATAATAAATGAGGTAAATAAATATTAAGTTTTATTTTGATTTTTCGGAATCTTGTCATTATCCTAATTGTTGAATATTCTAATGTTGAGTTTTTGCAGACAATAAAAAATACATATGGAAATTATACGTTGTTAAATTTTGAACTGAACAAATTTTTTTCTCCACTGGACTAGATTGTTCTAAAATCATAAATATGAATGCATGCCCTTTTAAATATCTCAGTTATTTCCTTTAGTAACTCAATTATCATGTTTTTCTTCAATCAGCTGTAACCAGGTATTGAACTTATCGCCTTTCTATCAAGTCGCCTAAAACAACCAACGCTTTTATCCAATTAATTTCTTTGTGTGCGATGATTTGATCCAAAATCTTTTGAATTCAATATCTGGGTAAAGCAGAAGTTTTTGAAAAAAGTCAGATTTGACAACTAAAGGTAAATAACTGAAACTGAAAAAATAAGAAGGTTAAACAATAATAAAATAACAATCCACCCCAATGGACGAAATAAAAGGTTTCGTTCGAACGTGAAAACGGCACATTGTAGTGGGATTTTCGTTAGAGTAATACCGATAAATACGTTAAAATGCATGAATTCTGTCAATTTTCATATCCAGTTTGAAAAAAGAATAATAATATCAGGTTTGCATTTATGTTGACACTCCCTGAATATAAAACTCAGCATGACAGAGTGGGTCAATATCTGCACTGGAAAATCTGCAACTTCTACGGGAAGGAAACTGAAAGAAACTAGTATGAACACCACTCAGACCCGGTTACGGAGATAGGACCTGTTACAATTCTATGGGACTACACAATACACACTAACAGAACAATTAAAGCCTACCGCCCAGACATTGTTATTAAAGACAACAAACAAAAAATGTGCCTCCTTATTGATATGGCAGTCCCTGCTGACTGCAATGTATCTTTGAAGATATTCAAAAAGCTGTCAAAATACAAGGACCTTGAAATCGAAATCTCGAAAAGGTGACATATGGGAACATCAGCAATCCCTGTTTTAATTGGAGCCGTAGGATTGATTGGAAAAGATTCCAGTTGAAGGGATTCCTGGAAGTCTATACCTCAAAGAGATACAAAAAATTGTTCTGACAAGTACAGCCCACACTTTACGAAGGGCTTTGTCTATGTAATTTTTTTTTGTCAGTGGAAAGTGTCATGATGCTATTTCTAACCTTAAAAAAACGGATAGAAATGTGTTAACGCCAGAAATCAAAGGAAATAAAAGTAATAATAATAATAATCAAATTATTGTGTTTGTTGCGAAAACTGAAAAGAAAATTGTATAAAAATTGAAAAAAAAAAAAGAAAAGAAATGGAAAGAAACTTCTACAGAATTTATGTTACCTGTGAGAGAATGATATTTCTTATAGAGGAAACATTTTTTGTTTATTATACAGATAGGAAATTTTATTAAAGTGAAGTAATTCCGACGTATATTACCTGAAGAAGGCCGGAATGTATAACGACCGAAACGTTGTGAGTATGGTAATAAAGATGAGGACAACAGTTTAAACGATGTAAATAGTGCAAATAGTTACAATACCTTTTCGCAGAGATATAGACAGATCCTGATGTAGGTCGGAGTGGACAACGATCGAAACGTCGTAAACATGGCAATAAAGATGAGGACAACAGTCTGAACGATGTAAATAGTGTAAATAGCTACAATACCTCATCTCAGAAATATAGTCAAATAACATTAAGTTTAAGGTTGGGAAGTTTCGACAGCAGCAACCGCCTTCATAAAAATAAAATGACCAAAGTAAATAAAAGTCCTATTTAAGTGAATCAAGTTACCCGACGGCTTTAAGTTCAATCTCTGTATTATGTAGTGCCCCCCCCCCAAATGCGCAGAGGAAGAGGCAAACAGAGCATGAAAACACAATAACGAGAGATAATGAACTGATACAAGAATAATCTGATGTCTTGGGTTGAAGAAAGATTTCGAATCGAGATTCATGGAGAGAGACACCTGAAGAAGACCCGAAGATAGGACGGCTGAAAATAGGAAGATGATGGCATTCTACGACCATGTGCTGAGTCCTTGCAGGAAGTGGACGATCATGGCCCTCCACAACTTCCTATTCTTTGTCGCTTTTAGTAGCGTGTGTCTTCTTACCATTTTTCCAAACCCCCAGTTCCGCTTTCCATTCGCACAAACTCGTCGGGTAGGTCGTCTGTTACCCCACTCTTCCTTTTGCCTTCGATATGTCCTTATGAATCTCAAATTCTCCAAGCCCTCCTTCCTCATCATGCATTCAATAAATTTTAACTCTTTCTGATTTTCAGTATAATAATCCTATTTGTTTCTATGTTCCTTAAAACATCTTCGTTGCTTACATGCTACGGCCATGGTATTCTCAGCATCCTTCTGTAGAACCACTTCTCTGTTGCTTCAAGTCTATTTAGTAGCAGTTCAGCACTCTTTTCTTTGTTTCCCCGGAAAATTGTTTTTAATACTTTGCTTTGCGTTTGGAAGACATCTTTTGCTGTTCCAATGCAAATTATGATTTCAGTACCACACTTTCCGAATTGAGTGATGGCTATTTTTAATGTTCGGTTTTCAATCGCTCCCATTATTTGGACCATGTGCCAGATTAGGTATGTTTTCTGGCACTACTATTTAGATAGCCAAGTATAACTAAATATAATCAGTTCCTTAAATGAGGGAACCCAAGTTGTCTGGGTTAAAATCTGCGACTCGAAGCGATACAAAATCTGCCGTAGAGTGTTAGAGTGAATACATTTTAGACAAGGGATATTTTACGGTTGTTTCTTGAAGTCTTAGCGAAGATCTTCTCTCTAATCCGGATATAGGCCTTTGATGTCGATTTCTGACTGTCATATTTGGTATATATGTCAAAAGAGGGCAAGATGATTGCTCAGTGGTTAGGACAACAAATGAAATATTGGACGTTGTTTTTAACCACCAGTAGTTTTTTTTTCTTGTTTCATTCTTTCTTTCTTTGTTTTCGTTGTCTTCTGCCTTACCTTCATAAATATGACGTCTTTCTTTCTTTCTTTCTTTCTTTCTTTCTTTCTTTCTTTCTTTCTTTTCGTTGTCTTCTTCTTAACCTTCCTTAATATGGCGTCTTTCTTTCTTTTCTCCTTTCTTTCTTTCTTTTTTTTCTTTCTTTCTTTCTTTTAAATTTTCGGCTTCTTTTTTATTCACTTTCTTTTCGTTGTCTTCTTCTTTTTTACCTTCCTAACATGGTTTCTTTCTTTCTTTCTTTTCTTTCTTTCTTTCTTTCTTTTTTTTCTTTCTTTTGGTTGTCTTCTTCTTTACCTTCCTTAATATGGCGTCTTTCTTTCTTTCTCTCCTTTCTTTCTTTCTTTTTTCCTTTCTTTCTTTCTTTCTTTCTTTTTTCGGCTTCTTTTTCCCTTCACTTTCTTTTCGTTGTCTTCTTCTTCTTTACCTTCACTAACATGGTTTCTTTCTTTCTTTCTTTCTTTCTTTCTTTCTTTCTTTCTTTCTTTCTTTCTTTTGGTTGTCCTATTCTTTACTTTCACTAATTTGCAGTCTTTTCTTTCTTTCTTTTTAGTGTCTTCTTTACAATCTTTTCTTTCTTTCTTTCTTTCTTTCTTTCTTTCTTTTTTTTTTTCTTTCTTTCTTTCTTTTCGTTGTCTTCTTCTTTACCTTCCTTAATATGGCGTCTTTCTTTCTTTCTCTCCTTTCTTTCTTTTCTTTCTTTTTTCTTTCTTTCTTTCTTTCTTTCTTTCTTTTTTTTCGGTTTTTTTTCCTTCACTTTCTTTTCGTTGTCTTCTTCTTCTTTACCTTCACTAACATGGTTTCTTTCTTTCTTTCTTTTCTTTCTTTCTTTTCTTTCTTTCTTTCTTTTGGTTGTCCTATTCTTTACTTTCACTTAATCTTTCTTTTAATCATTCATTCATTCTTTTTTTTTTCTTTCACAATGAATATCGTCTTCTATTTTTCCGTGGATTTTTATCGATTCTTTTTTCTTCTTTCTCTTCAACCTCACCACTTCCTCCATTCTCCACCCTCCTCCTCACTCCTCCTTTCTCTTCACCACGCCTCTTTTTCCCTCCTCTTCCACTCCTCCTTTCTTTTTAACATTTCCGCCTCGTCTTTTCTTCTTCTTACTCTTCAACCACACCCCTTCCCTCCTCCACCTCTCTTTCTTTACCCCCCCACCATCCTCTTCTTTCTGTTTAACATCAACTCCTCCTATTTCTTTCTTATTTCTCTTCAACCTCGCCACTTCCTCCATTCTCCACCCTCCTCCTCACTCCTCCTTTCTCTTCACCACGCCTCTTCCCTCTTCCTTCCCACCTCTTTCTCTTCTTTCTGTTTAACATCCTCTCCTCCTATTTACTCCTCCTTTCTCTTCAACCGCGCATCCTCTCACTCCTCCTCCTGCTCTTCTTCCTTGAAACCTCTTCTCTTCCCTTCTCCTGTTTTCTTCTTTTCCTTCTTTTTCGTCCTCTTTAATATCGCCCCTCCTTTCCTACTTGCTTCCTCCTCCTTGGAACTCTCATCTCTCTTCCTCCACCCCTTCCTCTTTCTCTTCTTCTTCTTCTTCTTTTTCTTCTTCTTCTTCTTCAACATCCCTTTCTCCTTTTTATTCTTCAACCTTTTCCTCTTTTCCTTTTTTTTTTGATTTGAGATTAAATGATTGTATTGTTGGTTCCTTCCATTGCTACATTCTATTGCCTGAATAAAATTAAAACAATTATGACCGATTAAAGAAAGCTTTTTGCAATTTTCATAATAAAAATATATTAGCTTGTCGTTAACTGAGTGGCCGGTTAATTGGGACATTCAATTATTTGAACCAAAAATCGAAAAACAAACAAAGCCATTTTAAATCATCCTTCACATTATTTTCAACACTAATCGTTCAATTGGGCCAAGATCAAACCAAAAGTGATTTTCGGATTGATCATTTCAGGGGCTCACCACTTAGTCTGCTTCAATCGAACAGTGTCTACTCTGTATCTGTTAAGATTAGCCTATCATAGTAGAGGTAAAAAGTAGATGTGCAATTTAGAATAGACATAGTGTGAGTAAACGTAATTTTATGGAAGAAGGTAATGAAGTATATCCGGTGGCCTCTCTCAAAATCTGAGCTGATTATGAAATTGCGGCAATATACGCAATATGAATCAGCTACGGGCATGATGGATGACAGGTTATTGTAATATATAAAAAAGTTGAATGTTTCTTATGATTTTGAAACGAAATTTGATTGAAACAAAATATTTTGTTTTTGTGTTTTTAAATTGATTAAACAGAAAATTGTTCGTGTTACGTCCCTTGCTTGAGGTTAGGTTACAAGTCCTGGGTATAGTTATATCTTCTGTTAATTCCCCTCTATATGTTCTCCACTTCCTTAACCGGGTATTGAACTCACACTCTTTGGGTCCTGTCACTGGATCCAACTAACGCCTTTATCCACTGCGCCAAGTGCCCTTGAGGACATCTTACATCCATTAAACATGGCACGTGGAACTAGAACAGTCTATCCCAGTGAGCGAAATAAAGAGTTCAGTTCGACATTCCAACCGCCTGAAGAAGGCCGGAGCGTACAACGGCCGAAACGTTGTAATAAATATGGCGAGGGCACTAGTCCGAATAATGTAAATAATGATTAGAATTGGATTAAAACGTAACATATGAAAGTAAATTTATACATTTTCTTTGTTTCTGGGATTTGACAAGAAAAATAATAAACATTATTTATTTATTAGAATTTGTATTTACACTGTTTATCGTATTTTTATTGGAATTTTTGTAAAACATTGGCTAATTGCTAATCGATTCGAACTTCATAAAACATAAACACTTCATACTTATTTCTTTATAAACTGGTAAAATGATAAATATTGCATTTAATTAGTTTTAACTGTATTAGTTTTAGAATGAAGTCATAAAATGATTCTTGCAAATAAACAACTAATAAATAAATATTGATTACTATTTTTGGTGTAAATTATCAAAAACATAAATGTATAAATTCACTTTCATCGTATATTTAAATTTAATTACCATTCTATTCAATTCAGTTATGTGCCATGCGTGATACACACTTAGGCGATCATGTATCTTTCGATACATGACTGACGAGGCAGATTTTTTCCAGAAGTAGAATTGGATTCAATTGGATCATTCATTGGACCATTCTAATCATCGCTTTTTAAAACAATAAACAAGAAATGAAGGTAGCGGTGTCATAGGAAAAACCGTCCTTTTTTCATTTTTTTCCGGGCACGAAGTTCCATGTTTGCCAGTAATAGATTGAAATCTCTCAAACTCTTCCAATACCCGAATTATTTCCTGCGCAGCTACAGCAGAAATATATACCTCCAAGAAATAGCTCCCGTATAATTAGTGGCCATAGCTAATGTCTTACCATTATGCTGGGGGGGGGTCTTTTGTGAGTGTGGGTATGTGGGAAGTATTTCTGCCACACCCTGTACAGAAATACAAAGATCCACAGATAACAATAATAATCCTAACATCATCGTTATATCTATTTCTCTTGTCTTCTAATTATCGAAGGTCGTAGGAAGCCTTCGATAATCAAGAAGAAAGATCAGCCACAAGGCTCCGAACATATTGTTTTTCGGAGGCGTTTCTATATATGGCAAATTTTACAGTTTATAGAAGCACCTCCCACAATCAAGATGTAGCATTGCGGTTGATGTCTCCACTGACCAAGCTCAGTCAGGCAAAAACTGGTTTTGTAACTTTCAATACCTCAAAAACCTTGCTAGTATCTTTTTATCCTCACAGAGCGGACTCTGGGCTTTCTCCTTTTACGATAGGCACCATGAACTGAACGCTTATTGGGTCTAAGTTCATTATAGATTTCGTGGAATTCATATACGCGATCCATTGATAATTACGTGTGGGCACTTCAAAATCGTGTAATGGTTAGCAAGCTTGTCTCGCTCGATCAATTACGACAGAATAGTGAGTTCGATTCTCACCGAGTGCCCAACGCTTTCGGCATTGTGCTACATCTAAGCTACGCTTACAAAATCATTTGGGCAACTCGACGTGGTGCAATGGTTAACAAGCTTATCTCGCTAGATCAATTAAGACTGAATAGTGAGTTCGATTCTCACTGGGTGCCCACATACTTTCGGCCTTGTGACACATCTAAGCTACGCTTAGAAAATCATTTTAGGCACCTCGGTGTGGTGTAATGGTTAGCAAGATTGTCTCGCTAGATCAGTTACGACTGAAAAGTGAGTTCGATCCTCACTAGGTGCCTAGTACTTTCAGCTTTTTGCCATACTTAAGCTACGCTTAGAAAATAACCATTGTTAAATACGTTGGAAAAATGGTCGGTTCATGCTATCTCTCACGTAAGTAGCTGACGCATTCTGCTCTGCTTTGGCTTCTTCAAGAGCCAAATCAAACCGAAAATGGTCTATTGTTGGCATATCCCTTGTTCCCTGTTTAGGATTGGGTTTCCGGTTCCTTCTAAAACCTTTTCCTTTATCTTTAAATTCTTGTGACATCTTTTATCTTGACGGTATTATCTCCTCCTGTGCTTGGAATGTTGGCTCTTACTCTATAATGTTCTACCTTGAGTCGCACTTGGTTTTCGTACAGGGTCAAAATCATTGTATATCTACATTGAAGCAACCCAATTGTCTTTTTGCAACCGTGAGTCAGATATCGTTTCTAAGGTTTTGTGGCAGTTAAAAATATTTTTTAATCTATATTCCTTTTTCCACGGACAACAAAGTCGCAAGACTATCACTATTCCATCGCAACTTCCAAGGGGGATATTCAGATGAGCTGCAATTTTTAGTCCCACCTATTCAAAGCTTTAACACTAATGGCAGTTATCAATATTCTGTTAATTCCCCTTTCCAAGTTCTCCACTGCCTTAAGAGGAATTGAACTCACAAATATTTTGGTCCTGTCACTAGATCTAACCAAAGCCTTTATCCACTGTGCCATGTGTCCTTAAGGAGATAACTGATAACTGAGATCCATTAGACATGGCACGTGGAACAAGAACAATCTACCCCAGCGAGTGATATTCCAAACAACTGAAGAAGGCCGGGGCGTACATCGGCCGAAACGTTGCGAAGAATATGGCAACAAATATGAGGAGAATAGTCCGAATAATGTACTGTACATAATACCTCATGTCAGAAATATAAAAAAAAATCCTTCCGTATATGTAATTAAATGATGTGAGAAATGTGCTGTGAAAATCGATTTTATTTTCCAAGTACTTCGATCTTCTTCCGAGAACATCTTCAGGGGTACGAGTAGTGATACAGAACTGTCTGTTGCTCAGGGGAGCAAGTAGAAAATTGCTATCCATTACTGTAATTTTTTTCTTTTTAATGCAACAGTTGACAGTCATGCTTAGCGTTCATTAGAACGTAAAAAATATCCTCTACGGAATTTTTTCTTCTATGTTGTAATGTCATGGTTATTAAATTTGTAAAGTAGAAAACGTTCGTTAACTGTACTATTACATATTCGAATGACATTTAATAGTACATGATGCAAATAGTACATGATGTAAATAGTACATGATGTATATAGTACATGATGCAAATAGAACATGTAAATGTACATGTGATGTAAATGTACATGATATAAATAGTACATGATGTAAATAGTACATGATGAAAATAGTACATGATGTAAATAGTACATGTGATATAAATAGTACATGATGTAAATAGTACATGTGATATAAATAGCAAATGATGTAAATAGTACATGTGATGTAAACAGTACATGATGCAAATAGTACATGATGTAAATAGTACATGTAAATGTGCATGTGGTTTAAATGTACATGATGCAAACAGTACATGACGTAAATGTACATAGATGCAAATAGTACATGATGCAAATAATACATGATATAAATAGTACATGTAAATGTACATGTGATGTAAATGTATATGATGTAAATAGAACATGATATGAATAGTACATGATGTAAATAGTACATGATGTAAATAATACATGATGCAAATAGTACATGATGCAAATAGTACATGTGATATAAATAGTAGATGATGCAAATAGTACATGTGCTATAAATAGTACATGATGTAAATAGTAGATGTGATGTAAATATTACATGATGCAAATAGTATATGATGTAAATCAGAGTGTCATGGTTATGTGACGTCGCCCCCTGGTCGCAGCGCCAACTGTGACGTTCTATTCTGGTCTACCACCGCACCAACTGTGACGTCCCTAAACAGCACCAATTGTGACGTCCTCGCCGCGGCGCCAGCTGTTCGCTCCTCGCTGCTCCGTTCGGGTGTCGCTGCTCCAAACGTGACGTCCACCTGTGGCGTCAGTCGTGTTGTCTCGTCCTGTGACGACCAACTGGCTTGGTATCGGTCGCGGCACCCAAATATCGGTCGCGGCACCCTTTTGGTGATTCAGGTGGGAATCTGGTTAGATTTGATATCAGCCTCGTCGTTCCCAACTCGCTTCCAACGCCTGGTTACCAAGGTAACTGCATTGATCCCCAGTCTGCCTACCCACGTTGTGAATTGATCTTAGGCAGACGAGATCAAACAGTGGTTGGGGCCGTAATGCAAACCGAGTTCAACAGGGGTGATACCACACAAATATGCATAAAAGAAAATAAAATGAAAACTCAAAAAGTTCAAAGTATCAAAGAAAAAGGTAACAAACTTTATGTCTAGTTGTTCGATATATAGGACTGCATCCATCTCCCGACCCGTTCTATGGATTGTGACACGTTGTTTTCCGTTAGGCGAGTTTTAACGCTTCAAGTTGTTTGCTCTCTAAGAAATTGGTTTTTCGGTGTGTCTTCGGACGAAAGTCGAAAAAAAAAAAACTTATTTCGGTGGTCTGGATCTAAGTCGCTCTTCAAAATAATTGTTCTTGGGTTGAAGAGGAGTCCGGAATTTTTAGTTGCCTGTTTTTCGTCACTTATCGAAATAACATTTTCATTTGAATTTTTCTTTGGCCAGTCGGTCTGTAGTTGATAATAAGGTGTCTTCCCGTACCAATAGTTTGTTTTCATATCCTTAGATAACATAGCCGTCGCCAAAACATATCTGATTCTTTCTTTCTTTCCCTTTCTTTTTACTCAGAATTTCCCTCTCATTGTAATGACACCCTTTCGCCATTTGTTACTTATCAAAATATCCCTTATCCATTGTCTCTTAGCCGTGTGTGTGTTCTGCTTATCATCCACGATTCGGTCCTTAGCCTCTCCTTTTCTTCTTTTCTTTCTTTTCTTTTTCTGCCTCGTTAAATGGTGCCACAGTTATTTAAAGAACTTAGAAATCTTCAGAGAGGAAATAAAAAAAATAAGGAAAATATGCAAAGTTGCAGGAACATTTTGATCACTAATTAACCAAAGAAAAACAAGAGAAATGGCAGTAAGGAATCTTACAGTCACATCATGTTGAAAATAGTTCCCGTACGATCACCGAAGTTAAGCAACATTAAGCCTGTCAGTACCTAGACGGGTGACCGGTTGGGAATACCAGGTGCTGTAACTTTGGGTGTGCGGATGGTGTCATGGATAATGATTCGGAATTGTTAATCGGAGAACAGAGTTCTAATTCCCGTTAGGTTCGTTATATTCACTTATTATTTATTGCACACAGATTCAAATATGGCACATGGCCTAAAATGGGGATGTGGAGGGCTGGTCTTCGCCTGTCTTATACTAAAACTTACCTAACCACAATCATTGGCACAGGCATGATACAATAACCCTTTCATAAAAACGCCAAATTCTTACATATCAATTCTTACTACAACCACCATAATACCTCAGAGTCTCTATGAAGTCCTAACTAGACGCCGTATATACAATTTCTGTCTATGGGGGCGGGGATACAGAAACAACTTCCATTATATTCACTTTCGCGCAAATACCTTTGGGTAAGGTATAAATCCACCTAATCTCCCCCAGCTATAGATTAATTAATAAGACTTGTATTACTAAACCAATATTATCGCCTCCACCAAATTCTTACAATCTAAAATATATTCTGGCTTTTAATAACCTGCAAAGAGTTAATAAGCGACCTGGTATGATCCATGTCCCCCAATAACTGATCTGTCCTGAACACATATCGTTAGGAGAACTTATATGAGTTGATAAAACCACTAGGTTTGACAGTAATCAGTTTGTCAAACTCTCTGCCTTCGGGCACGGAGGAACTCTGACAAAGCTATGCCGATGGGCAGAGTCTCATCTGGGGAGATAGACAATCCCGATCCTGTTATTACGGGGAAGTTTTGCTCCAGCCTACGGGCTCGTATTATCCCCTCGTAAAAACTGGTCTTGTGCCGCACCCTGCCTTGTGCGGAGGTTTGGCAAATACCGTACTCAGCTTGTCAAACTTTTTACCTTTGAGCAGGGAGCAACCCAGACGAGGCTATGCCAAAGAGCAGAAGTCTCGTCTGGGGAGGTAGACAGCTACTCGATCCCGTGTACGCCGGTCTAAGGGTAACTTTTGTTCGATTTTATGCGTTCGGAAAGCCCCACGTAAAAAACCGGCCTTGTGCCAGATCCGGCTTTGTGAGAAAGACTTTGGTAATACTGAGTTCATTCAATCTTAATGTCAAGTAAATTCGCATTATCCGAAACAATTCTAATACAATTTAATTATCTTGTATTTCCCCGAGCTCCCCACAAAGCGGGATATGGCACAAGACCGATTTAATGTGGGTTTTTCCGGGCCGTAGGCCCGGCCAAAAATCCCCTGTAGACCTCGTAATAACGGGGTCGGGTTTGTCTATATACTCAGACGAAACTATGCCCTTCGTCATAGCCTCATCTGGGTTCCTCTCTGCCCGAGGGTAGAGAATTCGATAAGCACTAAGACCTAAGCAGTAGACCGCGTGATAACGGCTTCGTCTACCACCCTAGACGAGACTCTGCCCTTTGGCATATCCTCGTCTGGGTTCTTCTCCGCCCGGAGGCAGAGTGTCGACAAGCAGAGTTAATGGTAATCGTTAACTATTCAAAAAAGGGTGATTTACTAAGTGGAATTTAGTTGTGGCACAAGGCTGAAACTATGGGACACCCAGTGAGGATCGAATTCACTTCTCAGTTGTAATTGATCTAAAGAGACAAGCTTGCTAAAAATTACCCCACGTCGAGGTGCACAGAATAGTGATTTACTAAGTGTAGCTTAGTTATGGCACAAGGCTGAAACTATGGGAAAAATAGGAAGGATTGAACTCATGACTCAGTGGTAATTGATCTAACAAGACAAGCTTTCTAACCATTACACCACGTCGATGTGCCCAAAACAAGTTATTGAAACTCTGCATAGAAGCAATGGTCTCCTGACAATATATGTCCAGGACAGATCCATTAATAGGCGAAATAGATGATACCACAAGCTGTAAATAAAACGAATCAATCAATCAATCAAGGGAAATGGGTTCATATAAGATACTAGCAAGGGTTTACCCTGTCCGAAAAAACACCAGGGGTTTTAGGCTTCTTATTAAACTCACTAGAAATAACTTGCAACGTTAACTCTTAAGCAGACACCGGGGCCACTCTGAGTTAATCACCCACCCAAAGAGTCGAAGTTCCGATTCTATTTACAAAGAGTAGCTTGGTATAGCACAATGCAAAGGAAGGAAGAAGATTATATTCCGCCAGTCTTTCAAAGTGGTGATGATGCTCACTCCTTAGAAAATCAACATTTTATCTCGTGTTGAACTCTAACTTCCGACACTAGTATAACATCGAAGCAATCCAGAGTCATATGCAGATTCCTTTCTCACGCTTTAAAGATGGCTGCTGGTGGTGGTGGTGGTGGCGTGTGTGTTTGAGGGGGGGGTGAACTGTTGCAAATTAAACGGTCCACTTTTGTTGCACGTCCTTTCACAAGCAGCTGGTTTTTAAGTTGAAATAACAACTTCACACCGAATTTGGATTCTTCATTTCGACGCTCATCTCAAAGTTCCTCTGACAAACAGAAATGTTTTTTTTCCTTCTGCTGATTTTAGGGGCTTGGCAAGTCAATCAGAATATAGTCGGCTCGTCGATCGTCTATCAAAGATTCGATAATACCTCTTAGAATTTGTAGGGAAGGAAAGAAACTTAGATAGATAGATAGATAGATAGATAGATAGATATTCAGAGGATTAAGATCAAAGTTATCACAGAAATCATATCCAGAATAAGTAATATCTGATTTAAAACAAGACGGTGAGATATTTAGTCAATATTTTCTTTTCTCTTCCTTCAGGGCATAACATCATGATAACTTTAAGAATTTGTGAGTTATATATATATATATATATATATATATATATATATATATATATATATAACTCACAAATTCTCAAAATATATACATATATATATATATATATATATATATATATATATATATATATATATATATTTTTTGAACAAATATTAAAAATTGAAAATTTTCAGACACACTGGGTTGTATATTAATATTGTTTTTTTTTTTATTATTTCAATTAGGTTCCTCGACTAGTTTCGGCTAACATGGCCATCATCAGGAGAAAAAATCCTGCTTGTTAGTAGCAGTGAACTACAGGAGTGAATTACTGTTTCTGAAGAAAGTGGACTTTATCTGTAGTTTTCATTTGTTATTTATCGTTAATTTTGGTCAGTCCTTGTGTTAGTCAAATGGCCTCTTTTAAGTTGTTTTTAAGATAGAGGATGTGAGATTCATGACTTTAAGGATCACCTCCTTGGTCATTTTGACAGTTTTATTTATTGCTGGGAATGGGATGTGTGTGTTAAGTGTATGTCATTTTTTAGTTCTTTGGGAGTATGTGTGATGTATGTATTTGTATATATTTTTGCGAGTGTCTGTATAAGTGTGGGTTTGGGGAAAATGGATGACAATGTGGAAAATGTTTTCTCGTGACTCGTTTCATCCTTCATCGCACTAAATTTGTTATGTTGGTGCGACTACACATGCGCGCAAACGAGGGATGCTGGGAATTTTAAATCTATTTATTTTATTTTTTAATCTAGCCGATTTCTTTTAAATTCTTTTTCGTTTCATCATTTGCACCCTGACACTAAAAACATAAGTTCATTAACAAGAACCGATAAGGTCCGTCTAGTTTATTTTTATATATTATTTTCAAATAAGTTGTTGAGTTCTGTGCTCGAAATTACAGATAATCTGTCTTAGTGTTTTGCACATCTCTGTCATTTGATGGTCAAAAGTACTGAATAAAAATGTAACCCACTAACGGAGAAGTACGAGAGAAGAAACTGTTAGCATAGAACCTATGGTTACATCTAGCTAGCACAACTATAAAATGATGAGACCCTGCCGCCAATCAAGTACTGAGCTTAAATTCATCAAGTCTAGATATCATAAAGAAATGTTCATCAGAACAATTACCATGAAAGTGTTTATAGAAAAGGCACAGGAAACAAGGTTATACTGACTGAATCTGATATGCCAGGTCAAGATTTATTACATTGCAGATTCTTCAGTATCTGTCTAGATTTCTGAGATGAGGTATTATGTACACTATTTACATTATTCGGACTATTGTCCTCATTTTTGTCGCTATATTTATTACAACATTTTGGACTTTGGTGCGGCACAGAGAGCCAACTTCCCTCGCGGTGGAAGAAGCAATTGACTCAGGTCAGCAGTCAACGTGAGACCGAGCAGACGCAGGGAGTTGCTCTCAGGAAGTTGGCTATCAGACATATTAATGGCGGACAGGGGAGGATCTCTATGGTGGTTAATGGAGAGTTTTTGAGGCGTTAAAGTTGACCAGCCAATTCTTGCCCCAGTTAACAACCGATTATAGGTCCGTTTCAAGACGCACGGCCAGGTTAGTTTTGTCAGCGACACTAGATTTGTTTTTGAGGCAGGAGTAAATTGTGGTGTCGTCCGCGTAGATGCCAACTTGGGAATGTATGGCGTCAGGAAGGTCGTTGATGAAAATAAGGAAAAGAGTGGGGCCAAGGTTGGAGCCTTGGGGAACACCTGCGTTCGTGGGATAGGAACTGGAGGAGAATCCGTTGAGAACGACCTTCAATTCTCGGTTTGACAGGAATTATTGTATTAGATCAAATAGTCGACCAGTAATACCATAACCCTGGAGCTTACGAAGAAGGCCGGCATGCCAAACCCTATCAAACGCTTTGGAGATGTCTAGAGCCACGGCATGAGCCTCACCGTTATTTTGAAGGGCTTGGTAGACGGTTTCCGTGATGGCCGTAAGAACATCAGCTGTAGATCGGGCGTAGCGGAAACCATATTGCTTGTCAGAGCAGATTATGGGATGTAAGGTGGTTAACCACTTCGGCATTGATTAGGGCTTCGAAGACTTTGCCGAAGAGGGGTAGGAGACTAATAGGACGGTAATTAGAGGGGTCAGAGGGGTCTCCAGAGTTCTTAAAGACAGGAACAATGGATGAGAACTTCCAGTCGTCAGGAAAACAGGATTCCTTGAGGCAGTAATTATACAGTTTAGAGAGGGCGGGCTCTAGCTCAGGCGCGCATTTCTTCAAGAC